TTAGATCCAGACACACAGAGTTAGATCCAGACACACAGAGTTAGATCCAGACACACAGAGTAAGATCCAGACACACAGAGTTAGATCCATACACACAGAGTTAGATCCAGACACACAGAGTTAGATCCAGACACACTGAGATAATACAGACACAGAGAGTTAATACAGACACACAGAGTTAGATCCAGACACACAGAGTTAGATCCAGACACACTGAGTTAGATCCAGACGCACAGAGTTAGATCCAGACACACAGAGTTAGATCCAGACGCAGAGTTAAATCCACACATACAGAGTTAGATCCAGACACACAGTTAGATCAAGACACACAGAGTTGATATAGACACACAGAGTTAGATCCAGACACACTGAGTTAGATACAAAGAGTTAGATCCAGACACACAGAGTTAATACAGACACACACACATATATATATATACAAAGGTACATATTTTTTTAAATTTAGGAATGTGGCAATAAGAATAATGATGCAAAAATTGTCTTGATGCCAAAAAACCAAAAAGAGCCCAACAGATTTTACTTACAAGTGGAGCAGTAGTGTTACGCTTGTTTAATGCATATAAATTGCTTAATTATATTTATGCAGGGAGTTTTACAGATTAAATGGACACTGCAATGTAAGTAGAATAGATGAAGAAAAACTGAAAAAAGGAGAAAAGATGAGAGAAAGAGGAGATAAAAGGGAGATATTAATAAAAGATCTTCAGTCTACTTCATCACCTGCAAAGAGATGTAAAAAGAACAGCACAACCAACAGACATGGTACAAGACATACAGTAAAGTAACACCTAGATCAGGGGTGCCCAACCTTTTTTAAACCAAGAGCTACTTTTGAAGTTGATGGCATGCCGAGATCTACCAAGCCAAACACAAGGAATGGGCAGTATTTGTTTTTTATTTGCACAGGTGGAGTCCAACAAACAAGGAAATTATCAATTGTGTCAAAACAGAACTTAACTATCTCATAAGAACTTCACACTCACTCACTCACTCACTCACTCACTCACTCACTCACTCACTCACTCACTCACTCACTCACTCACTCACTCACAGACATGCAGTCAAGATCTCCAGACAAAGGCTGTGCAGTCAAAAAATCTAAATAAACCAGTTCATACACACACAGTCCAGTAGAAAAAAACAAAAAACATTAGAATTGTATATATATATATATATATATATATATATATATATATATATATATATATATATATATATATATATATATATGTATATATGTGCGGCAGTATTTTAATTATGAATTAAAGTGCAGCCTTGAAAAGTAAAAAAAAAAGAAATGTGTGGCTGTGGAGCCGCGGGTTGCTGACCACATTCCTAACATGTTGTAGAGTGAACTGAATTGAAGATGACATATTATCAAATATCAAAAACTTTAAAAAATCCTAAATCACAATAGCTAAAGAAAAATTACAGTACTAGAATCTGAACTCATTTAAGTATTAATAAAATTGGCTGTATAAAAATCTACTCAAGTAAAATCTATTTTAACACCTAATTCATTCTTTAAAGGAATAGTACACCCAAAACATGATTAGCCTTCATTTTCTACTCACCCCCATGCTGAACAACACTCTCGAGTACTTTTTTGATATCTCAAATGCATCTGGAGATCTGGGAGGCTTCTTGCTGTCTGCTGACATTCAAATNTTTTCAAGGCTGCACTTTAATTCATAATTAAAATACTGCCGCACAGCTGTTGTTGGTGAATGATGCAGTGGTAGCTCCAAAAATCCGGGAAAGTTTCAGACAGCTTGAACAGAGCAACGAATCCAGCAGGGTGCCCAACCATAGATGGAGCCCCATCAGTTGTGATAGATGTAATTATCTCATTATATCTTCAGATTCCTCTTCACACTTCAGAGTCCCTGGTAACAACCTAGCAACAGTGGCAAACTATGCCCAACAATCAACATGCATTAAAAAAGGTTGCCTGCATACTTTTTATGTTTCATTTTATTATTATGAAAATACACATTGGCCTCTCGTGATCAATGATTTGATTAGTGTTTTTAAAACTTTTTTTTAAGTCATAGCCATAAATAGGTCTACATTTTAAAACTTCTCGCGATCGACTGAAACTCCGCCCACGATCGACTGGTAGACCGCGATCGACTGGTTGGGCACCCCTGACCTAGATACTATCACTGAAGTAAAAGTAGTATTATTTAATCTGACATGTACTAAGTGTTACCTGAAGATAAGAATATGGGCTTTCTGTATGGAAGTGAATCTCTAAGTACCTGAAACCAAGCACCTGGGGTCCCCAAAGGGACCCCAACAGCAAAGGCGCCAAGGAAGGAGGAGAGACAGCTCCTAGGAAATCCCCCAGCCATCGCAATGCCGGAGCCCCCAGGAGCTGCGGGGTAGATATCACTAAGGTGACACTATCTAACAGATGTGGGGAAAAAGATGATTTTCAAGTTTGAGAGAAGGTTTTTAAGGACCAAAATGCAGAGATCAGGAGGCAAAGGGGAATTTTGTAGATTTAATGAGTCAACTCAGGCAAAATCCTTAATCCAAAGAACCAAAAGATCAGAAAACGTCAGGGAAAACTCACATGAGGACCCAGAGATGAGGAAGCAACTAAACAACAACAAACCCTGCTGAGTGACTGCAAAGGTGGTGTATACTGTATATGAGGGACCAGAACAAAGGATGGGCTAATGAGCTGAATATGGAGCAGGTGTTAGTGGAACTAAGTAGAAGGAAGCCAAGGGGAAAGTAGGCAAGCACAAGGAAGAAACAGAGAGTAACTGTCTCATAACTCTGGCTATTAATGTTGAACCAGCGTTCCAGGCAACGGGTTGTCAGAGAGCTGGTTGGATCAGTCCGAAAAGTTTGGGGTTACTCTCTGGTAGTCACCTAGTTATCACTCAAAGCTGTGCATCCTATGAAACGGCTGCATGTGGCTGT